TAGCCGACACCGGAGCGCCGGCCCCGGCAGCCGACACCGGAGCGGCGGCCCGGGCAGCCGACACCGGAGAGCCGGCCCCGGCAGCCGACACCGGAGCGGCGGCCCGGGCAGCCGACACCGGGGCGGCGGCCCGGGCAGCCGACACCGGAGCGGCGGCCCAGGCAGCCGACACCGGGGCGGCGGCTCCGGCAGCCGACACCGAAGCGCCGGCCCCGGCAGCCGACACCGAAGCGGCGGCCCGGGCAGCCGACACCGGGGCGGCGGCTCCGGCAGCCGACGCCGGAGCGCCGGCCCCGGCAGCCCACACCGGAGCGGCGGCCGGCCACCGCCCTCGGTCGGCTTCACAATCCCATCCTCTCCTGTCTGACACCTAGTGTCGAACACGTTGCCTTTAAACGCCTTGTGTGCCCGGTAAGGCTTCCTCCACTGCCGCTGTACTCCGCGCCGCGTTTTGGTGCGAACACGGGTGGCTTCTGCGCCCCTTCCCCTGCCATCCCCGCTGCGTCTCCCCGAAGGCTGCGCACCCCGGCCGAGCACTCACCTGCTACAGTAGTTGACTGGCCCGGAAGAGACAATGCGGTTGAAGACACTCATGTTAATGTAGTGGAAGAGCTGCGAGAACAGCTGGATGGTCAGCGCCGCGTTAACGCGGCAGCGGCGCAGCAGGGCCATGGTGTTGCCGAGTATGCTCAGCACCTGGAGAGAGGGGAGGGGGGACGCACGTGACACTGACGGAGCACATGGACGAGAGCGTACAGATACTGAAGAGACGGCGCACCGATGGGTAACAGCGCCCTGATGACCGGTGAGAACATATGCTCACACGCTGGTAAGACCAGTGAGAGCTTATGCTCACACGCCCCGAAGACCGGTGAGGGCATATAGCCCGGACAAGGCCGCTCGGACCGAGCTGCTAATGACAGAGCTACATTCGCGGATACAAAAATGCCACGCATGCACGTGCATCAAAATCCGAAAAATGTGGATGTTCAATTGGCATTCCATCGACTGATTCGTAGCAAGATAAATAAATATAGTCAACCCCCAACCCCACTGGCCGGGCTCGGCACACCAGACCGGCCCGCCGGGCATACCTCAGCCGTGGTTCCTTCCTCCTCGTTAGCGTCGTCGCGGTCCTCCAGGAAGAGGCTGATGGAGCTCACCAGTTCGGCCTGTACGCTGTCCACCAGGTACCTGCCGAGGGTCTCCTGTTCAAGGGACGCGAAAGACAGCTGTGCCGGGACAACCATGCTCTTGACGACCACACGCCCACCCTACCGCACTCAGCTCTTGGCTCGTTTGCCATGAGATCGCGCACCTTACTATTCCAAATTGCCAGGGAATGGAGCAGCCTACACGGCGCATTCCACGGCCACTTGCCCGCACTCGACGGGGTTCAATCAAGACAATTTACCGGCTGGCCAGCTCGTGGGTCGACTTCCAATCGGGACCGGCCCACGCGGCGCCCGTGGGCGCGGCCGCCCTCCACGGCGTCCGGCCGCGTACGTGACCGAGCGGCGGCCCCGGCCCGGCAGCAGGTGGGCCACGCGGATCACGCCGCTCCAACCCGCTCGCCGAGCCGGGCCACATGCCGTCGGCCCAGCCGGCCGGCTACCAGTGCCGGCAGTCGAAGCCAGACTGCGGTAGCCGCCACCGCCCAGCGACGCGACACAGGCTTGTGCCCGGGCGCCTCGGGCGGCCCGGGCGTCACGGCCGAGACGCCGGGCCGAGCCAGGCCGAGGGGGCGGGCGCGCCGGCCGCCGGCGCCGGCCGCCACACGCACCTGAAGGCCGCCTGCACCGCCTCGGCCAGGATGTCCTGCGCCAGCTGGCTGTACGGACTGACGTGGCGGTCCTGCTTCAGGAAGTGCAGGTACTCGGACGCGTTGGCCATCCAGAAGGCCAGCGCATTGGCGTTAAGCCGCCGGCTCTGGAGAGTAGCGGGGAGGGAGTCACGAGGTGCCGTGACAAGTGCTCGGACCAATGTTGGAACGGCGCTGCGACGACCAGGCGACAGGGACCAGTTTTGACGGCGGGCAGGAGGCAGGCGGACGAGCCTGGCTTGAGACAAGCCCGTCACAGACCATTCACAGTCCTTTAGGGTGGGAACGCCTTATCAACGATAGCTCACGCATAGCTTAAAGCGCATGTTCAACATTTGAAGACATTGAAGCAGGCATAAGATACACTAAAATAATCTCACTTAAAACTTTAAATATCCTTTCAAGTGTAGACTGGTCTAAACGCTTCATTCCTATGCTTTGTTAATATGCTTCCCAGTGCGTCATTGTTTGATAACGTCATGGCACATTTGAATGACCTTGATGTGCCGCTAAACTAGCCGTGCGAAGTTGCCACCCTAGCACTCAATTGCAGTACTTCAATGTCCCAAGAGGTGGCTATGGCACCGTGGCGGTGCTGGAGGTGTTTGTTGAACCAAGTATCGTGATGTGCTCGTGCTATGGTCCCTTTTCGTGGTGATCTTATATATTTATCCGTCAGTTTAAGGTGTTCAACTACATTCACATACTTGGTTATGGTGCTATTCTCAGGTTGTTCGATTACAACTCTATTTTCTGCAAAAACTGGTGCGGACGTCTGACTTCTTGCATTATACAGCACAAAGCGTGAGTCGTGTTTGGATCTTGCACAGCCTGCACAACATTGATTAAGAGCCAGTAGAAGTTCGTTGCATGTGGAAGTCGTGCTCACGAACGCTGGGTGTGAACGACACGACGATTATATTCTTATTGGCCTTGAACGCCACATAACCAATGGGGTGGCAGGGTTTCGATGACGTTTCTACGGCGTCATGCACGCCTGAATGGCCTTGAAACAGCCTGCACAAAATAGTTTTCCTTTCTTCGCGGGCGTGTAGCTCAGAAATTAGACGGGGTTTAGGTCTCAAGAGGAGCAGGGCTCTTAACCACACCAAATGATCAAAGATGGCTACTTCAGTTCAAACCCCCATAAAAATGTAGAACACTCCCTTTAAACCAGAGTCAGGATAAGTAATACCACCCGTGGCTTCCAACATAACAGTGCGTGCACAGACCTAGCAACAAAACGTGCACACCAAAAACACGCGGGTTGGGCGAAATCAATCCCAGCACGCCGAAGCCCTTCCAGTGTGAGACGCCTGCGGCAGCTTCGGGGTGTAGTGCTGCAGTACCGCACCGACGTCAGGGCCCCGGCTGTCTGGTGCCACCGGTGCTCCCAATCACGCACCGTCTCTCACGACCGACACAACAGCCCACAACCTAGCCGGCACACGGCATGGCTTTGTGGTAAAGGACTACGCCTACGCCTAAAGGAATTACGCCTACGTACCGCCGCTCGCTTGCCCTCATTTTCCTGCTGCAAGCAGAAACTTTTGATTCCAAGAAAGACCTTTTCAGCACCAGCAGGTTCTAATCAATCAAAATATCGCCACCCTTAAAACGCCGCCACACCTTGCATCCTTTCCCGGGCCAAAACGCTTTTGAATGATAAGTTTCACCACAATGAGATTACCAGCACCGCGTACTCTTTTCTCATAAGGCGCACACTACGACAGGAGCTTGCACACTTATTACGGTGTTGAAAAGCCAACTTTTTCGAGATGAAAAATACGGAGTGGACCAGGGGAGTACGCAGCATGCGTTAACTCAAGGTTGCTTTATCGGCGGGCCGCCAGATTTTTCATCACCAATAACCACCAGACGAGAGAAACATCCGTGTTCCGAAGCACCTACGGCTCGTAACAGCAGGCATGCAGCAAAGTCTGCTTGCGAGGGTCTACCCCAGCCAAACGATGCTGTACCTCGATGACGTCGTGCACCATGTTCGGACACCTTGGCCAGCACCTCAGGTCAGCTTGGTGGCCCGCTCGTCCGGCGTCCCTCGCTCGCTCGGTAGTGGGTGCTCGCACGGAACCTGTCGGGAAGCCGGCATCTTCAAGTCAGTCACGCACGCGGCCGCGCAGGGGGCCGGCGGAGGCCGCCCGACAGCGAGCCCCGAGCCACGGCCAGACAGCGGACTACTCCCCAGGCCAACACGCGGGGGTGACGGCCGCGGAGCGCCGCGCTTCCGCTCTCGGGGCGGCACAGGCTGCGCGCCCGCAATTCTCGAGCACGCACAAACGGCGCAGGCACACTCAGTAAAAGCATACATGTAGGTACAGTATGAACACAACAATGCCGACCATCATCGGTGCGCGGTGACCATCTCCTCCGCGCGGTGAAGGTTAGCCGGCTAGCCAGCCCAAGAGGCTAGCGGAACGCAAGGTCAGTCAGGCAGCACTTTTCGCGCGTTGGCACCTACACACGCCCTCAGTGAAGCGTCCTCAGCCAGTAGAGCCCCTCAACAGCGAGCAGAAACCCTCAAACAGAGCGCCGGCCAACGCGTGCGCACGCTGGCTCGGCGGCGGCGGCGAGGTCTTCGCGGCGTCGCCTGGTGCTGGAGGGGGGCCTGCGGCTGGCGCTGCTGATTACCAGCGGCCCGGAGCCGGGGACGGGTGCACGCCGCCGCTTCCTTGGCAATCAGCCGACTGGAGCGCCCACCACGCTGGCTCCCTCGGACACCGTCAAGTGTGGTCGGCGCACAACAACGCCACCGGCCGTCACTGCAGACGCAGCCGCCGCCCCGCCAACACTGTCTGCCCCCCCCCCCCCCGAGGACCTCACCCGCTCTCACCAGGCAGTCAGGCTCGCAGGGCGGCGGCTGGTGCAGCGCCCTCACCTGGCCGACATGTAGAGCGTGTAGGTGGGCGCAAGCTTGAACTGTAGACTGCTCGGGGTCCAGCTGGGTGATGACGGCGCGCAGAAGAAAGCGTCTTCGGTCTCCTCGCGGAACTCGAGCACCGCCGGCAGGATGGGGTCGCTGCCGCGGCCGTAGCTGGCGTACGTAGTCGACCTGCCGCCACGTCGGTGCCCTGTTTCACGCCCGCTTCAGGGCCAACATTGCGGAGCGGTTCCCTGCGCGTTGATACTCTCGCTCCCCCCACCGGCGGATCCGCCGCTGACCACTGGTGGGGCGAGAGACCGCCCGACGCCCCGCTGGACCCGCTGGTGGGGCGAGAAGAGACCGCCCCGACGCCGCTGAGCCTTCAAACAACGCGCAACGTGTGGGGACGCCACCTCTGCCCTGCCCCCGTCAAGCGCCGTAATGCACAGGCGGTCGTCAGCGATCAGCGGGAGGTCATTCACAGCGTCGTCGCCACCGCCGCCGCCCCTACGGACGGCGCAAGTGGCGACAGATCATAACGGGCGCCGCCGCTTACGAGTTAGATTGTTTCAGCGCACCTCAGTCGGGCGGCCTGATTGCTGGCGGCATGCTGTCATAAAGCGCGCCGCTTCCAGCCGAAAGGTCGGCCCGGCCCGACCGGCTTAATGCGACGGGGCCCGGTCCGACGCCGAGATGATTGAGACGGGTCTGACCCCGCACCGCCGGCAGCTACTCGCAAGGCGCGGTGGCCGTCGCTGCTGGGGGCCGCCGGCAGCCGGCCCGCCTCCGGGCACGGCCTGCGGACGCAAACGACGGCGCGCCGCGCTCACCGCCGTGCGAGTGCAATCAGCGCCCGGCGGTCTCGTCCTTCCGCGAACGGGAGCCGTGACACGACGGCGGGACGGCCGGCCGTACGAATCAGACGTGGCCGGGTATTTTTATCTCGCAATAAAAGCGAACACGATGTAATTATCGTCCTGCATTACTCAAAATAGCCTTGCCTTCCCACAAAGGGCGGGGGTATTAGTGAGAGCGGTCATAGGTATCTAAATATGGCAACAGCACCTTAGATTGGCATACCCGCAATCAAGTTATTCTACATCGACGCAGAACTTTGCCGACGCGGACGAGCACAGATAAACGACCCTCTGCTATTCAGCAAGACTGCTAGTCAATTTCATTTCACTGTGGACAACGTAGGAGCGACTTGCCTTGATCAAAGCATCTACGTTCCAATTTCGCAGACCCCGTGCACTACCTCCATTCCATGTCATCCACAGTGATCAGATCCGACGGAGCAAAACAGCTGCCTGTGAGTATGCACCATCACCAGCACCATACATCCACCACCGGCACCAGGCTCTCACCACCAGCACCAGGCTCGTCTTACTAGCACCAGTCTACCACCATCAGCACCAGTCTCGCTTTAATGGCACCACGGCCAGCACTGGATACGCATCACCAGTACGCACCTCCTATCACCAGCACCAGACTCACCTCACTGGCGCCAGGCTCCCATACTAGCACTAGGCTCCTATCACCAGCATTTGGCCCCACCATCAGCACCAGGCTCCCATCGACACCTAGCTCCGGTCCCAAAAGTCATATTGACTTCTCAGCCATCTAAATATGCTGTTTCACTCTGGACTGGCATCTTCATCGACATCCAGTTAGGAAATCTCATTCCGCCAGCTACAGACATGTTTCCGTGGCCTCTGAAATCGGTTCGGGACGGCAATCCGGACTAATGTCAACTGCTGCTTACTATTGAAGTGTACAGTGTCAACTGCCGATTACTATTGAAGTGTACAGTGTCAACTGCTGATTACTATTGAAGAAGTGATTCGAAGCAGCTGCTCAATGTCTACGTTGGTCACGGCGTGCACCTCTGCACGCCTAACAAACCAATTAACGGAGGGACTCGTGTTGAATGGAGTGGAATGTGACGGAGGCACCACCGTGCATAACACTGCACTTCTTAGAGCCAATACCATACGACAGGCGCGCGAGGCAACTTCTTGGCGCTCCCCGAGCCGTTCTCCCCGGCGCCGGTGCGGCGGGGCGGTCGAACGACGCCAGCCAGAGAATCCAGCCAGCCGACGCCAGCCAGGACACTCAGCCAGCCGACGCCAGCCAGGCACTCAACCAGCCGGCGCCAACCAGAGCACTCAGCCAGCCGACGCCAGCCAGAGCACCCAGCGAGCCGACGTCAGCCAGAGCACTCAGCCAGCCGGGACACCCAGCGAGCCGACGCCAGACAGGGCGTTCATCCAGCCGACACCAGCCAGAGCACTCAGTCAGTCGATGTCGACCAGGGCACTCAGCCAGCCGACGCCAGCCAGAGCATTCAGTCAGCCAATGCCAACCAGGGCGCTCAGCGAGCCGACGCCAGCCAGAACACTCATCCAGCCGACGTCAGCCAGAGCACTCATCCAGCTGACGCCAGCCAGAGCACTCAGTCAACTGATGCCGACCAGGGCACTCAGACAGCCGACACCAGCCAGAGCACTCAGACAGCCGATGCCAACCAGGGCGCCCAGCCAGCCGGCGCCAGCTAGAGCACTCAGCCGGCGTCGCGTCGCCGGCTGACTCCGCGTCGGCTGGACTCGGACTCAGTCGGGCCCGGTTGCGACATCGCTCGAGCGGCGCCCACCGGCCCGTGCCGGGCGCGTGCCCTCTCAGCCCGTGCACGCACCGATCGCGATCAAACTTTTAAACGGCCTGCGGCGGGGATCAATGGGAAGCGAGCGCCGCCCAACCGGCCGCGGACTGGTCGGCACCGCGGCCGCGCCGAGACCAATCACACGTCGGCCCGGAGACTCGGTGCAATTACGAGCAGGGCACCCCGCTGAGGGCTCAACAGCAGTCACATGCTGGGAGAGTGGGCGTGGTTCGAGGGAGGGAATTGCTATTGGGTCTGCAAGATGAGGTCAAGCTGGGGGACTCAACGTGCTGAATGATGATGCTGCGGCTGTGTCGTATACTCTTGTCCGACATTCAAGCTGGTTATTGTTGCGCACGCCGTTTTGGACCCGCCGGTTGTAATTCAAACGAGCTGTTGCGAGAAGCTATGTTTCGAGGTTCGCGAGAAGTGATCATCTTTTTCCAACAGCCGAAGTCAGTACGTTACGCATCCATACGTAGATACGTGGACGGCGAAATAAAATAAAAAGCGCGACTCAGGATGTAAGAAAAGACAGCAGCCAGCATACGATGTTTAGGTAAGTGACTCGTTTCTAATGTTGCACGGTAAATGACCCAGATCGTGTTGTAAAATTAAACTTGACGTGTCAAGGCGACCACGCCCGTTGGAAAGCGATTTTTGAACTTAGAAACTCATAACTACAGCCGAAAATATCGTTAATGTAGTAGGAAGGAAGCCGACAAACTACTGTCATGACCACGGCCAACAGAACACGTTCGAAACACTAACCGACTCTTCCAGCATCTGGATCGGCCTGCCGGCTGTCACCTGAGCGATCCCAGTCCGGGTGTTTGGCGTGGATCACTGGGCTTTGGTCTGCGATCGCCAGGCTCGACGACGCCGGCGTTACGGGCGCCGAGCCGGCGTCGCATCGCCGCCTGGGCGGCGTCAACAGCGCCACTGATGTAGACCGCTCCGAGCGTAAAGGCCGGCTCTCGGTGCCGATCTGTCGCAGGCTGCCGGCCGGCCAGATCGCCTGGGCGGCGTCAACAGCGCCACTCATGCAGACCGCCCCGAGCGTAAAGGCCGGCTCTCGGTGCCGATCTGTCGCAGGCTGCCGGCCGGCCAGATCGCCTGGGCGGCGTCAACAGCGCCACTGATGTAGACCGCTCCGAGCGTAAAGGCCGGCTCTCGATGCCGATCTGTCGCAGGACTGCCGGCCGGCCAGACCGTCATAGCAGCAGCCGGCCCAGCAGAGCGTCCCGTGGACGGAGGGGAGGCCGCGTGACGTGGCAGGTCCCGGCCAGAAACCTCGGCAGCCGCCGGCCACATTTCGCCGGCCACTGGAGGCCTACCAGCCCCGCACAGCAGCTGCATACACCCCAATCGCATTAGGCACGGCCGCGAATGACCGGAGGGCAAGAGTACCGGCGGCTCGGCCTGGACGGCACCAGCTCTCGGCGATCCACGCAGAGTTCTACACGTCTGACGCCACTCTGGCTTCTTGAGAACCGCCGGCTTTCTTCTAATTGGCTACTCGTCAGATTGCTCCCGTTCCCCGTAATTGGATTGGCCTTCCAAAAGAAGTGTCGCGTCGTGCAAAGTTCAGTCCCAGCAGGAATCATCCGTCCAACGTCATCAGGTGAGCAGGCGTGACCTGGAGAGTCCCCCGGAGACCACTCCGCTGGCTGCCCCGCCACCGCCGGCTCCAGTGCAGGTGGGCATCCTACTTCTTATTGAGGGACTCTAGCTGCAGAAGAGGTTTCACCGAAAGGGAGCGTAACCGAGTTGGAATTATCATTACGATCTCACCTGAGATCACCGGGTCGATGCCAAGGTGTACCTCGAACAGACAAGGGGGTCCGAATCGAGTTAACACCGCATCAGCAGCGTCGGACTTGATCATCGCAGGGGAACGAGGGGGGGGGGGGATCCGCGATTACATAAGCGCATACTGCAAGCGAGGCGAAATGATCACCTCGTCGTGCACCTCCGGCATCAGGCGCCTGACTGTCAACGTCAATACGCACACATCGTTCACGCAGTAACTTGAGTAACGCAGCCCCGTCTCTCCCACTGTGTCTGCGTGTTCCATGCCATGAGAGCTAAAATCTTAAGCCTACAACGAAAAGCACACCAAAGGGTCTCCAGCCTCGGCGACGGACTGGGCTGGCCCATCACCGTCCGTGGTGTGAAGCATAGTTTTGTAATGGGACTGTTTCAACTTGGAATGGGTTCTCAAATGATGGCCAGACTGCTGCCAAATATGAGATCTACATACAAATGTGTCTCAATTTAGTACCAAAATACCTCATTTCGTGAGCTTGAAGGTGCGACGTAGTTGGAGCAATAGTTCGCATAATGCTAAGTTTCTCTCTATCATGGCCTATCCAGCACTGAAACACACCGCGACCATGCCACGTCACCCAAAGCAGAAGACTGGACCGGATTCGAGGACTCTGTTAATAGCTCGAGAATGGCTTGCGCATTTGATGACTTACATCAGGCCGAGCATGGTATGATACTGAGCATTCCAGCATGCAATACCGCTGATTAGCTGACTTGCGTTGAAACTATTACGCACGTCATAGGACAAAAAAAGAAAGCAAATGTCGGGATCACCATGGACGCACTCTGGTCAAAGTTTGCGCATAGCTGAACATTTCACCTGCGTGGGACACAGGAAACACTCGCCTTGAGGAGGCTCGATAAAGCGCTCCTCCGCGACATTCGCAGTACTGGGAACCGGCAGGCTCTCGTCTCTCGACTCAAAGCCAACTCTGAACCCACTCTTGAGGCTCTCACCAAGAGACTGATCCAGGTCTCCAGGGCGTGAGAACAAAGGCTGGTAGGCCGCACTCTTACGAAACGCATTCGGGCTCTTTAGAGTTGCATTAAAGCGACGTTAGTGCGCTCTTGCACCCTTTTAAGGCATATTTGTGATGTGCTGCGGCGTTTTTAATATGTTTTATTTATTGATTTTGTGGCAACATTGCAGAGCTTTCTAGTGCTCGGGTGTTTTTGTAATTAATGGCTTATACTTGAAAAAGACAGCAGCAACAGCAGCCTTATCTCTCCTAGAAAAAAAACCCAGGAAAGTGGACGTCAAGATGTGTTGATATTTCGGCAACATGCCCCTGTCTATATAGATGGCAGAAGTAACTTAGAAATTGCCTGTCGATGATCCTACTCCATTTATCAGATATTTTTTTTTCAAACAAGGAGTGAGCTTTTTTTTCTCTTAACGCTAGCTTGCATGGATGAGCACTTGCTTTGCAAAATCAAATATATCGTTGGAAAATGAAAACTTCGCGTACGCGCACGCATAGCTTGGAAGAACGACAATAACCTAAAAATGTCTCTGGTGAAATCTTATATCCCAAAGCCCAAGTGCCAAAGTGGCGATGAATGTCATTTATGCAGGTCTGGGTTTTAAGGGGTTTGCACGCAAAAAACGTAGCTTACAAAATTAAGTGTAAACTGGGTGGAAAACATGGAGGGAGGAGGAAATAGTTTGTTTGGGCGAGTCCATCACCAAGCAGTCTGTTCCCGCACCAAAGCTCTCAATCGCGATATTTGCAGAATCAAAAGACACAACATCTCGCCTGACATCTCGCTGTCGCACAGGTGACATCCCTGCACACGTGTCATCGGCCCGTGCTCTGGTCTGACCTGAGGACACGTGGCCGCCTCGACCCCCCTCCCCCCATACCCTACACGTGGGTCTCGCGCGGCTCACCTCTCCATGTAGGACTCGTGGCCGCCTCGACCCCCCCCCCCCCCCTATACTCTACACGTGGGTCTCGCGCAGCTCACCTCTCCATGTAGGACTCGTGGCCGCGCAGACTCTCCCGGCGGCCGCGCAGCCGCTCCTCCTGGGCCGGGTCCAGGAACCGGAACTTGTACACCCGGCCAAACTGCACCACCGAGCCGTGCTGCCAATCAAGTGAGCGCCAGCTTACTACACCCACCGCGCGTAAACATACGCACGCCACAACCCGGCGCATCCCAAGTTTTGCCACAGACACAACCACAACACGCAAGCCAAAGGCAACGGCACGCACCGCGATGCGCCGCCGGGCAACGGTACGTCATCAACAAACACCGGGGAGCGCGTCGCTATCTTGGAGCGGCTGGTGGGTCGGGACGGAGCCTGCACGCACGGTCCCGGCTCAGGAGGGTTCAGTCGTTAGCCCTGAGCGACACGTCACGCGAGCGGGCGCCGCGCCGGGGGAACGTCGCAGATCTCCGGTCTCCGGTCTCCTTCCTGGCCCGTCGCCGACATCACACAGCATGGTACTGAGTCGCTTCGATTGGGACAGGGCTCACGACGCGCTCGTTCGTTCGCACAATGCGGTCTCCAGAGCGCGTTTGGTGATGGTACTCGCGGACCACACGCCAGCGTCATTAGCGGATAACAAAGCCCCATCACCAAAGCAGTGTTCGCTTGACGTTCGAAATCATCATTGGTTGCGCGCATTTGCAGCTAACAACAGATCACGCATGCACCCACCGTGGCCGGTCCACCGCTTCAGTTTCATATATCCCAGCCGCTGTTGAGGCTGAAAGCCGTCCACAGGCAACACACCCGCGGGCTCCAGCTACATGCCACCTGCATTAATGCTCCCAGCTTCACCAAGCTCGTGCCAGTCTACAATCAGCAATACTACCAGCGGTACGTTTGTCCAACTGTACACGCACGAGCCGTCCGGTTTCATTAATGCTCCCAGCTTCACCAAGCTCGTGCCGGTCTACCATCAGCAATACTACCAGCGGTACGTTTGTCCAACTGTACGCGCACGAGCCGTCCGGTTTCATTAATGCTCCCAGCTTCACTAAGCTCGTGCCGGTCTACCATCAGCAATACTACCCGTGGTACGTTTGTCCAACTGTACGCGCACGAGCCGCCCGGTTTCCGGGACGTCTATTTGGCCAACCAGTCTATCCCAGCCATCCGGACTGGCCAGGTACGCCGTTTCCGGGCGCCCGATGGTCTGGGGATGAGCACTCCCTCATGGTCACGTCGTCACCGCAGCCAAGGTCGGACCTGCCCGGTCCTGCCACCACAGTGGCCCCCAGCGGCAATATTGGCGCGGGTAAACAAACGCCGGGCGCGCAGTGCGGCGCGGCTCACCGCGCCTGCGGCGGTCGGCGCAATCGGCGGCCAGGACGCAGCAGCATGAACTCAGATGTGGAGAACGGAGTACGAACACGATGCCCAATGCCGGCCAGCGATACCGCTCGCCCTATCGACCTGCGACGCACGCAGCCGCGGCGGGTGCTGGCAGGGCGAGATTTCAGGCCGGTTGAGTTGATATCACCAGTCCGTCGCTACAGCTCGATACCAGCTAAGCCGGTCACCGGAGCTCGGCACCGGCTTTTCGAGCCCAATACTAAGCAGCTCGATGCCCGCTGAGTACCGGACCGGCCGGGCCGCTGAGCCAGACTGGCCATCGTCAGTGCTGACTGCCGCAGCCCACTGAGAGGTGGGGGGCCTCAGGGCGGACGGCACACCGACGGCTGGGTGGGGCCGGGACCGCACCAGGGCTCAAAAGTTACCGTCCGCCTTTGCAGAATGCTCGGCCGGAGCTGTCAACATCGTGCCACTACGCTGGCACATCCGCCAGCGACTGTCAAATGCAGCCCCACTGGGGCTGCTTTTGACAGTCTATATGCACGGCTGGAGAGTCACTTGTCGCGCGCAGAAGGTCGTATCAGCAGCGAGTGACATTTTAAGTTCGGGGCCGGAACCACTCTTACGCCCAAGAGCTCCACCTGTCTCCAACGCCGGGACGTTTCAGGAGCACGGCATGACGAAGAGGCTTTTTGTTTTCGCAGAGACAAACCAAACCAAGTATCTCTAAACGACCAAGCTGAAGGCCGATAAAACTTCGGTGCTCATCGCGAGCTTTAAACAGACTTTCCAAGCCATTGGGGAAATAGATTCACCGATAGCTCGAAGTCAACTTTGCTTGGGTTCGTGTGACCATGCAGTTGTAGCCACGTAATAAGAAAAAAGTTAACGTTAAAGGGAGAACGCCCTACACCCTAACACCCTAACGTTAAAGGGAGAACGCCATTTTTTTGTACCTTCACTTGTTCTTAAATCAGACGCGTCTGATTTCATCGGTACTACCAGTTTTCTCGAAATCCGTCTAAATAGCTTATAATTTCGATTTGCAGTAACTGCTCCTACGGAGGAAATCTCTTTGGACTCTCTGTTCACCGCTATGATAGTAATACCTTTAATTTGCACTGCTTTTTCAATGTGTGTTCTGTTATGTTTGCAAAACACTTATTTGCCAAATGCTTGCATAATAAATGCTATGAAAGCTATAATCACTATTCAGAGCAAAAACTATGCAAACGGCGGTTTCTTATGTCACGAATTCAACGACATGTCGTACTGTGTCTTTGATTTCTTATAACGTTCAGCATAGTGGCACTTCTCGAATCGCGATTTGGCTCTGGGAAACAAAAGTGCCACATGGTCCATATTCACGCACTGGTTCGAACTTTAACTTTTTGTCGGTAGCGTTCCGAACTTCCCTTCTCGGTACCTGCCCCTTGCTGCCCGCTGCGCCAATCATAAACGTTCATTCGTACTGACGTCATTCAGAACAGTAACGGCGCCGCTTTTCGGTCCGCAGTCCCACAATGTGCGGGTTAAAACAGCTCAAAAGCCACAGTTACCAGTAAAAACCGAAAACGGCCCTCAGCAGATTCTGCCGTAGTCATAACAACGGCAGTTGTCATGACGACGACTATCGTGGTAACGGCAGTTATCGTGAGCTCGGGTTATACTTTGGGGCTAGTAAGAAAACGTGTACTGCTCTTGCAAAGCGTTGACAACGCTTTCGACAGGGAATTCAACCCTGGTAAAATTGGTACTCCGGGTTTCATACTAGAAAGCATGAGCCCGCGTAGCTATTCGTGCACAAACCACACGAGCATGATCCACATCAAGCAGGAATTACCAGACGCGCACGCGCCACATAAATTTCTTTCGTCCAATAATAAAGAATCTCAACCAATTTTGTTACCAACGTCCACCAACGACACCCAGTCCGCCCTCACCCACACTTCAACTGCAACACCTTTCAATCGGGCCTCATTTCCTAAATGCTCTTGTCGCACTTGGTTATAATCAAGCGACGCTAGAGAAAGGTGGCAGGAGTTACCCCGATATTTTCTTCAGTCCACAGCCCAGGCCCCGTACAGTGACACAAACGTGAATATGTGCACCCCGAGGCCCGTGCTATCAATCGGCCGGCTGCAGCCGAGTGACCGGGCTTATAATGCTTGTACCAGTCCTTTCGAAAGCATAGGTGTCGGCATTGAGTTAATGCCGGCCCGGATTGACAGACAGGGAAACGCGTCCGGGAAGGTAGGATCAAGAAAAGCGAGAACAACTTCGTGGTCGGGCTACACGGTATATCACGTCATTTAGAGGCCGTTTTCCTAAGGGATATCAATGGTCAGCGGTGACACCAATCCGAGGTCTGTTGGTTCATCTGCCATTAGTGGACAGATGGCGAGACAGACAGCGATCGCCTGTGCATAGTTTTAACACTGACAACACTGTCGACCATAAAAGCACTAAAACAAACTTTAAACACGCATGGTTCCCACCCAACACTATATATCTATAGCGTACGCATGCTTAAGCCACCCATCGGTGACCCTTCCCTCCGCCACAGTGTAGGCCTCGCGCCGCTACACTCTCACCTTGCCTTTACCACTCTCACAGCACAACATCGTGTGCGCCACATCCGCGTCAATCTTATCTACACTCGCGTCTCCGCGTGCCGGACACGGATACGGATTCGGGCCGGACACGTCCCCGAGGGCATTCCCCGAGACCCCTCTCACACGGGTACGCTAAGGGTGATAATTTTTCGCCTTTCTCGGGGTTGTCGCCGCTCTTCCGGTTATCCGGTGCGTTAGCAGCTATGGTATGACGTGGGGACGCGCCAGTGCTTGCGTCGCCAATAAATTGCCATCTGTGCTGGAAATAATGCTGCGCATCAGCCCCGGTTTCGCCGACTCATCTGAAACCGAATATGGTAGACAAGGAAGAAGCGCGAAATCCATGCTGATGGGTAGTTTCTCAGCAGGGTCTAGAAAACCGATATATGAAGCAGATATGCTCGTTTTCCGAAAAGATTCGTCCAATCGCCTTGAAATATTTGCCAATCGATTCCGTGTAATGAGATTCGCCATGGAGAGATAACATCGAGACCTGGCCTGAGTTCAAACACCTTAGAAATGCGGAGGGAAAATTTTACATGCAAAAACAGACAATAAGTTCTCAGAACCTACTGCACCGATCGCTGCAACGCCTTCACAATTGGACATGGGCGTAGGAACAGGGGACCAGGGGGGCCATGCCCCCACTTTTCAAAGTGCGGGGCAGCAATGTTAACTGGCCCCCACTTTTCAGATTAAGGTTGCATTTGGCTTACTTTTGCCCTACATTTAACATGCATGCCGATTTACCTAGTTCACCAGCCATCCCCCATAAGATGCGTCACGTTTTTCGTCTGTTCATTGGCCATCGCTTAGTATTACAGCCGCAAGACCGCCGCCGACAGCATGGAGACTGCAACGCCGGGCATTGAGGCTGTTGTTGCTAAACTAGCAAGCGCGTATGTTGAAGACCATATTACGTAGCTTTCTTATCAGAAATCAGTTCTAACAGAATCTTGAGCATTTTAAGACGAAAATGGGTTAGCCTTGTTAATACAAATTAGGAACCCAATTTTATTTACAATCTACGGTCAGGGAGAACTCAATATCTCTGAAGAACACAGAACAACACGAAACTGGAGTCCGTGTGACAATTATTGGACTACCAGCGGTGATCAGGGATGTTGTTGCATCATTGAGGGTTCCTGTGCTGATCCGGGGCTAGCTGCCGGGTCAGAAGGCCTCCCTACCCGTGATGGAACGGAATGGCCCCTCAGCCCTTGACCGGAAACGGTAATGCACCCTTGGTGTTTTACTCAAGGGGCCCCTTGCCAAGAAGGAAATAAGGGGTTTCATTACTGCTGACAGAATGGGTGTCTTCTTAGTGTTGAATAGGGTGGGTCGAATGAGCTCAGAGAAAACAAGCAGGGTCATGCCATGTTTGCCTGAGGACGTCCATTTTTCCATAATATATTGCTGAAACAAATTACATCAAAAGATATTGCAAATTACATCAAAAGAACATGTCCGACCGCAACCTCGAGGGCAAGCACAAGGATGGTCTGGGTTCCAAACTTCCGTAAAACCAAAAGTTTCGGCCACTGCAAGTGCCACCAGACGGCGGGCGCCGTGTTAATCTGCCTTCTGGATAGACAAATAGTTGCAAAACACGAAAAATAGAGATTCTACCTTCACTCTTCCAGTTCAAACCACCAAATTACAGCTCCACTACGCGGTTGCTTTAATGGCCAACCGTTCTTTTCATCTGCGTAAAAATTGCTGACGTGAAATATGCGCTCAGGCTGCGCTCCAAAGGTATTCAGAAGCGCCGTCATTTTCGTCAACCCTTTGGCCACAACTTAGTATTGGCTGCTAGGCCGACGCTGCGCAGCCCACGGAGACTGCAACGCCTAAGGTCGAGGCTTGTGTTTCTGAGATTTTCCTAGTGTGCACGCTCAAAACTGCGTCAGACAACTTGTGTTAGTAGTCGACTAAAGTTTTAAAGGTAATCATTTCAGAAGCGTCATCACGTTCGTCCACCGGTGGGCCACGGCTAAGAGTTAGCTACTGGGCTAACGCTCAGCGGACTATGGAGACATACTAAAAGAAGTCAGCAGGTTTCTAAGGTTTGTGAAATAGGCATTAAATTCAAGCCATGCTTGAATGAGTTTTGTCAAGACGCTTACCTGGAAAACATCGAAACAACATAACTTGGTTGATACACGAAACTAGTTCAAGCGGCAGTTGATACAGAACACGTAAAGAAATCTAGGCGAAGTAAATTTTGCCCGCGGACACCACCGTCAGCAAACAAAAAACTCCTTTTCACTCAAACTCGCATATGCAAGCAGATGTAAGATTTCATCTTCGATCTGGATGGGGAAATAATAACTCCACCTCTGAATCTCCAAATCCAAATTACCACTCTCGGCACAACCCCATTGATCGGTGCCTCGCGACTGTCAGACTGTTGCCAGGTGGAGTCCCAATCCAGTAACGCTCTGCAGAGGCGGACGCAGGATCGTGAGGGAGCGGGTGTGACCGGCAGCACGCGCCATCAGAAGCGCGGCACCATTCGCCAGATGACTTAGATAACCAGCGCCATACACGCATGTAGCTGTGCCCGCAACCTTACAACTCACCCTCCCCCCCCCCCCCCCCCCCTTCTGCACGGGCTCTTCCTTATAGCCAGCCTGCATGAACCTGCTTTTAAGCAACCGATGGCGACACTTCTTGGCCTTTTTGTATTGCGTTGGCTCCAGACACTACTTGTGTTGTGACACTATTCATTCCATGCGACATCACAATTATATATGATCATGCCTGATCGGAAATACTATTTCATACGGGTGTTGCTTGCAGAACGTCGCGCGTCACGTTGCCTACCACGCAAATACAGAACCGAATATGTGTATGAATCGAATCAAATCCTTATGCCTTTGCAACATGAGTCGTCACATCGCGCCCCAAGTTGTCTATTCTCAATCACGTCGAACTTGGCACTCCGTCCATCGTATCTTTGTCCAGATTTCCATAAGCTTATTTTCAAATGCGCAAAACAAAAAAGGGAGGTAAACGAAAACGCTAGCGTCACTTTTCGAAAGAACTGATTTCAATCATTTTTGCTGCCATTTCGCTGGGAATGGAACACCTAAGAACTCAATTTAGTATAGCAGTTAACAGATGGGGTATCATTGGCCGTAAATTGACGTGCTGTCACTCATGGACCCCAGTCTTGGCCCAGATCCCGTTCAAAGTTACTCCTTGTCAACAATGGGAGGCCCGTTAGCTCGAAGATACTTCCAGAACGTCGTGCATCGTGTTGCCTACCACGCAAATAAAAAACTGAACACGTGTATGAATCTAACGCAAATTTGTATGCGGCCTGCTAGGCATGTTCTTGACCAACAACAAATAATGTGAATGGGTTGCTGGATGATATCACACTGTAGCCAGAGAAAGAAAGAACACAAATATCTGACCTGATGCACACAAACTGGAACCACCCACATCTCACAATCTCTCTAAAATTCCATGAATGTCAGCAGGCGTACGCGAGAATGTTCACAATTAATGAATGCAAATCAGTCTACCGCGATCCACTTTTCCGATACGTTTTCTTCCAGCACGATCGCCCGGAAACTGGAAGGTTAAATATTAGCTGGGTCTTCACCGCCATATGTCGGCCGACGAAAGCTAAAATTAACACTTGACCTACGTGCACCTGCAATCCAATACCATCCGCGGCGCTAGGCCGCTTTCGGCGTGCATTAGTTACCTCGTGACAGGTTAATCAGGCGCCAGAGGCCCGGCTTCAATCTACCGTTTCCATCGTAGCCTCCGGATGACAACAGGATGGATAAGGGGCTCATTTTCCACCTGTCTGGCAGCGGACACATGACGTCATTAACGTATAAATGAAAAGACTTCTCCGAATTTGACGGTCAAGGTAATCTTGCCAGCGTAAGCAAGTTTGAAATAGGATGAGTGCGGTATTATCGCCAAGATCAAGATGTGAATGCTCGTTAACAATGGCTCACAGTGTACATCTACTGGTCACGAAGCCTCGTGCTAAAAATGCCCATCTTTTGAGCTCATCCTCTCATTCAGGCTGTTAAAACACATCAAAATACATGACCTCCAGGCGACGCGGAGCCTCCCATGACCGCAGGGCACGGAGCACAAAAGCTTCGCAAAATTTACGTTTTCGGCATAAACATTCAATTGAGCTGTGCAGAAACCTAGTGGCTTCACGAATCGTATCGTGCTGATGTGTATGAGATATTAACGCAATACAGGGGCATAATATTCCATGAAATAGCACTGGAAGCGGAAACTTCTGAAAGAAAACTTCCGACACACGAACATTTACGGTGGCATTGGTCTGTTGCGGTCAGTTACCAAGCAGATCGTACAGATATTCATGGTTGTTTTGATCAAATAACTTAGCGGCTGCGCCATCAGCGGACCGAACCGATGTGACTCCTAAAATTTGACGAGTATAAACTTGCTAGTCACATTCAGTGCGAATAAGTACGCTGAAAAAATGTAGGGAAGATGAAAACGCTCCCTGCGTCAAAATTCATCCAAGGAGCGGAACGTGATCGAACGATATCAATCTGCCTGCACAATGCAGAAATAATGTCATTTAATTCCTGATGGTTGTACCTATGGCCTTACACTTCTTGTGGCCATGTGGTCATGTATGTGACGACACCTGATAGTGGCCATACACTAGACTATTCGATACTAAACACACATGCGATAAACACAAATGCGGCCAGGTATACTGGCCCGCGATATGGCGAACCAATCAACGCTAAATAAAAGCGCGCACACTGGAAGATGTAGGCACGCACGTAGCGGTCTGACAGCGCCATTCACGGTCATCCCGGATGGCGCGTGTGGAGCAGGCGTAGCACGCCGCATGCACCGGCCGAATGCAGGACCCCTCGTCACAGCGCCATCAAGGTGGTAACGGTGCTCCGAGGCGCTTCGTCGGCGCGCCGTCTCAAGGTCACTTTGGCGACCAGACATATGCTAAACTTTGCCTGAGCAGCCTCGCCTGCCAACAGATCATCTTCCCAAACGCTTCGCACAGGACACACAGCCACCTAAGCCAAAGTACACGAAGGCACTACTGAATGCCTTCATGCATAACTATCAGACTGTATGACTATCACATATAGTGATACGATAATGATACAAATTGTGCTATATATGGACCACATGGTGCATGGTTAACCCATCCCTGCGGTTCCCATAGTGGGCATTCATCAGGTACGGTCATGTGGTAGCTGCTGAAAGCAGGTCAGGGTGTGCCTCGCGGGCCACCCCTCGGCCGCCGTCCAATGCGCCGGGCCTCGCTCAACCATCGCCCAGCACACCGGGCCGCCCCTCGGCAGCTGCCCAGCACACCGGGCCTCACTCGACCACCGCCCAGCACACCGGGCCGCCCCTCGGCAGCTGCCCAGCACACCGGGCCTCACTCGACCACCGCCCAGCACACCGGGCCGCCCCTCGGCAGCTGCCCAGCACACCGGGCCTCACTCGACCACCGCCCAGCACACCGGGCCGCCCCTCGGCAGCTGCCCAGCACACCGGGCCTCACTAGACCACCGCCCAGCACACCGGGCCGCCCCTAGGCCGCCGCCCAGCACACTGGGCCGCCCTTCGGCCGCCGCCCAGCACGCCGGGCCGCCCCTCGGCCACCACCAAACACGCCGGGCCGCCCCTAGGCCGCCGCCCAGCACACCGGGCCGCCCCTCGGCCACCACCCAGAGCACCGGGCTCTCCTTGGCCACCGCCCAGTACACCTCCATCGGGCCGGCGCCGCCCCTCACCTGCAGGATGGTGGTCTCGTAGACGCGCTGTCCGTTGACGTAGATCTCGGCCTCGCGTCCGCACGGCGTCACCGTCACGATGCCCTCCGTGTGCGCGATGACGCAGTGGCGCGGGTGCACGTTGTGGCCGGTCAGCTGCAGGCACTGGCCGGCCGCCTGCGGCGACCGCTCGCTCCCCACCTCGGTGACGTTGAGGTGCAGACTGAGCCGCCTGCGGCGCGACACAGTCACCCACCGCCGGTCAGTACGAGACGTTCGCTGGGCCGGACGCCTCCGGCGCCGCCCGGTGCCCGACGGCGAGCTCGGCACACGGCGTCAACAGAGGTCTGCCGAGCCCTGACGCCGGGTGCGCCACATTACGCAGAGGCGAAGGCGTCGAGCCCACACATCCAGCGTAAACAGCCCGACGGCGCTACAAAGCCGGGACAGATTGGGCCTATCCAAGGCGAACCACAGACGTGGCCTACAACGCGAAGTGCATCTGAAGTGCGAGACCAGTGACCAAGCGAGGCCTTGATCGCTGGGTCCCGAGCCGGGGGTCTGCGTTAACCAGGCCTGCTGGGGGTCAGGACGGGCCGTGCCGGGGATGCTCCCGTCAGTGGGCCAGGCTATCTCGGACGCCGACTTAGCTAGTCTTGTTCGACGCGTAACGGAATGCAGCCATATTGAGTGTTGCAGCAGAATACATCTATCACGAATACATAAAATGCGCATTAATTTGGGCGCCCAACTCCAGTCATAAAACATCGCTTGTCTCTAGAAGGCGACGCTAACTCCACCTCAGCACCACTAACCCAATGCTGTAATGAGTTAAGTTCTCTCTACGTGGTGCTATATCCAGCACGTGGTCACCCGAGTGGCATATACCGAGAGTCAGGTTAGCTGGGCCACACCGTACTGTTGTGTCGGGCTCTACAGGCTGTGGCTCGCCGCGTGTCGGATGTCACAAGCTTGAAACGTTGGGTGTCAGTCGATGTAACGTGTCCCAATAGTTACCGGAGTAGCGTGTGTCGGAGGCGTATTTATTCCAGCGCATATGAAGAATACACGCCTAGTAGAAATGCGTTGTAAAGCTACCAGATTATAACAGTCTTGTTATCTGCGCGCGAAATACCAAACTTGCGCATCAGAGCACACGTGCACATCAATAAATGCAGCCACACACGCCAGGCCCGCATGGTGTCGTCTTTCAAGCTCACATAAATTAGCTACAAGGCCGCTACGATGCTGGGCACGATGAGCACATTTTTCTTAGTCACTCTTCAAGTCCGATAAAGTGTGGATTTTCGGCTTGGTTCCCACTGGTGCTGAATTGTGAATGGGCTGTGACTAAGTCCTGAACTGGCACAAATTTAAGCTTGAACCATGCGTCACGCCAGTGAGGTAATCATAGGCACATGGATGCCTCTGAACGTGTGGAGTGAGACAGGGACGTGCCAAAATTTTTGTTCGTTGTTAGCCCCCGTCCTGATGAGTGGGACCCCCTGATGTGAACCCCTAAGGTTTCTTAAAGATGCCTATCCGGGATGTCACGAAATGGCGCCCGACTTTCCCGGAGCCTATGGGGGCAGATAATGCGCGTGTTTTGCCACCAAAACACGTCCCTAGCGTCCTCGGGTAAACCAGGGACACAACTGTTTAGGTTTCGTGTTGCCATGAGGCATGGCCCCAGTCCCAGCCCCAGACCCAGACCTAGGCCCAGACCCGGGCCCAGGCCCAGGGCCAGGGCCAGGGCCAGGGCCAGGGCCAGGGCCAGGGCCAGGTCCAGGCCCAGGCCCAGGCCCAGGCCCAGGCCCAGGCCCAGACCCAGGCCCAGACCCAGCCGTAATGACAGTCCCCGTCCCAGGCCTAGGCCCAGCCGCAGTCCCGAGCCTAGGCCCAGTCGCAGTCCCATGCCCAGGACCAGCCCAGTCCTATTCCCAGTCACAAGTCCAGTTACAGGCCTAGTCCCAGGCCCACACCCATCCGTGGCGCCAGGCCCACGCCTAGACGCAGTCTCAGGCCCGGGCCCAGTTCCACGCTCAGCCACAGTCCCAGGCCCAGGCCCAGTTGCAGTCCCGGACCAAGGCCCAGCCACAGCCGCAGCCGCAGCCGCAACCGCAACCACAGCCGCAGCCGCAGCCCCACCCCAGCCCTGTGGTGCTCTTCTTGGCGCAGCGCTGATCACGTCACGCATGCAACCGACGGCGATGTAGCCGAGACGGATTTGGGTGCAGGGTCACGTGATCTATGTTCAGGTTGGGTGGGGGACTCCAAAATACCAGAATGGACCCTCTTAAACATGATAATGGGCCCCTACAGACCGTACTTGGCCGGCTACAAGTAAACAAGGAGTAAAACCCTCGATAGTAAATAATAGACCTTCTGCAGGTCATAATGGGTCTGCATGTCATACTGAACTCTCTTATGGCCAGAATGACTCTTCTAAAGGTCAGAATGGGCCCTCTAAAGCCCCACTTCAGGCTCGGAATCGCTCTCTTTTGGTCACAAGGGACCCTAAATACCCCAGAATGGCCTTTCACAGGCCAGAATAGACTTTTGCATGCCCCCTCCCAGCTTTTTGGTTGGGGGAGCTGCCCCCACTACCTCACCCCCTCGCCCCCGGTTACCGTGTCCTTGTTTGGGTGCCATCCCCAGCCCCTGAAGGTGGCGTACACTCGGGAGCCGAAGGTATTATTCAAAATCGACTCGCGTTGTTTATTTCGCGAAGTCCTCGTTCCGGTCCCGTTCCGTTTTTCTCATGAGTCTACAGGACCTAGGCGTACCACCCATGTCACTACGTGCTTGACATACGTATTTGTTTTGTGGACCAATGCAGTGTCTATACTTACAGCAGAAGAGTCGTGGAGCGAGGGTAAAAAATTCTGTGTTTTGGTAGCCTTGCAGTACATGTTTGCCCGCAGTGGAAGTTTTATGTGCCGAATCGATACGCGTGTCTCGGACACCGATGGCTACCCGTTGGTTCACTGGGCGCTGGGCGTCGAGTCTCGGCGGTCGCCTCGGCACCCCCGTGTCAAATGTCAGCGATCACCTGGGCGTGGCATGTCTGCTGTCACACACCCGCCGCGTGCCGGTGGTTACCTGGGCGCCGTGTGTCGGATGTTAGTTCCGTCCGTGTTAAGCTCCACCAGGAACGGCAGGCTGGCCTCGTCGTGGCCGCGGTAGCTGTGGTCCACGTCCGAGAGATTGGTCGGCTGCGCCGGCTTCTTCTTGCGCTTCCGCGGCTGATAGTCGGCCGACCGCCGGCGCACGTGGAACATGATGGAGCCTGTGGGGGCGCCGTCGGGTCAGACTCGGCCGGGATCCCGTCACACCAGACGGGCGCGACAGCCACCGGACGCCAGGCCGGAGCAGACCGGCGCCGGGTCACGCTACACCCGAACACGGCCATACAAGCCTGCGGCGTGCCATCGGCCCAGCGGAGGTCAGACCGGACCCGCACGGGCTCCACCCAGACCAAGCCGGCGCCGGGTTGGGCCATACCGGTGCGGCGTCAGACCGGACCAGAACAGAGGCCGATCGGAGCGTCAGCGACGCTCGAGCCGACCGACTAGAGACGCGGCCAAGCGCAGTCCACAGCAGACACATCACCGGATCCGAAGCTAAACGCGTAAAAAAAACCAAGGCCAGCCGTCCGTCTCCGCCGCGACACAGTTCGCTGGCTTCCGCAGCGTGCCGCACAGACCAATGAAGCCATCAATTCACGGATCAGCTCGTGCGGCAGGCTCGGCTGGCCGCGAGACTCCCGTCGGCACAGTGCCGTCCACATCGGTTAACGACCGGCCGTCCGTTCATGCGGATTACCGGCCGGCCGGCATCGGTGCGCGCTGACCAGCGCGCCGGCCGGACGTCCCGTCATATAGAGCATCGACCCGTTCAGGCGTGTCCACGACGTAATCAGCCCGGCGCCGCCGGTCAGCGCGCGCCCGTCCCGGTCAAGGACGCCGCCCGACCGTGCGTGCGAACGGCGACGGCTGCCGCGCCGATGCCCACAGGCGCGGGGCGCGCGCGCACGGCCACCGTCGACAAGCGTGAGCTGTTGCCCAGCAGCGTGACACCTCGCGCCACAGGCGGCGCGCGCGCACGGCCACCGTCGACGAGCGTGAGCTGTTGAAACGCGCGGCAGACCGACCGGAGGCGCGGCCACGACCAGGAGAAGACGCAGGGAGTGCTTTTGGTGCGTTCGTCACGCCACCTCAAAAGACAAATGCCGTTCTGCGAAGGCGGAGACACCCCAGCGTCCCTCCATCGCTAACCATCGTCCTTGCGTCCAAGGGCGTCGAAGGTACTGGGTCGAAGGCTTTAAGCCACGTTACGAGTATTGGAATGTCTACATGTGGTAGGTACTAGCTGAACGGACGCCGGACCACCGTCGGCATCCAGCGGCGCCGGCCGTGCGGACGCACTCACGGCAGCGGCGCGGCGGCCCGCGCTCATCCCTCGCATGGTCCTTACCCAGGGCTCGCCGACGGTGCAGGCCCCAAGGCACACCCCGCGGGCCAGTCCAGGCCGGCCAACATGCACCGGCAGTCGCCCCCGGGGACACCGCGGGCATCAGCCCAGAGCACCATCGATTAGCCGTCAGTCAGGTGGCGGATTCCATACATCGCGGCGTAATGGTCCTGCCCACAACGCGAGGGGCCGGACTGCGGTCACTCGATGGCAAACAGCCGCAGCGCCGTCCGAGCTCGGCGACGCGCGCCAGCGGGGGCCACGACTCCGAACACGAAGGTCGAGCCCGCCCACACCACGCCAGACGGGGCGCGTGGCAAAGCTCCGGCACTGGATAGCGCTCCGTGCCAGTTCGTCTACATGGTCACAGCGACTCAGACTGTGCAGCATTATGCTTTTGAACACGCGCGTAATATTGAACATCTCGACCAATCCTTACATCGTCACCCTACGGTAAGCTGTTCGCTGTACAGGCCGCAGCAGCTTCGCTGCGTCTTGATTCTGAACTAGTCAGCCAACAATAACAAACCCTGTCGTACGCACGGGCTGCATGCGTACAACAGCCATTGTGACCACCTGTTGGAGTCCTGTAGCGTCGCTGCCAACAGCGCGGCAGCGAGGAGGGGTAGGACCACGAAGACAGCGACGTCCAGCTCGAGGACAGTGCTGCAATAGCCCAATTATTTACACGACACCACATGGGCCACCAAACGCTCATTGCCCACCACTTGTGAGATGGATCCACGCCTCTGTCCCCATGGTTCAAAAGGGACTCAGCGCGTCAGCTCGGCCCACATAGTGTGTCGCATACCAACGCAGCGAGGGGGCAAATTTTTCCCTGCACAACCTTAACACGCATATAATATTTGACGTTAGGAGCAGATACGTCAAGTTACCGTTTGATGAGGCTCCTTTTTATTTGAATATTAACATGCGCTCGGGTGGGTGTCAAATTAACCCCCCAAAGGTTTTCCAGAAATGGTTTCCGAATGGCGCGGCGTAGCCGCGCCAAATTTTGCATGGCTGTAGAAAATTGAATAGCGGATCGTCTGACATCAAAAATTTAGATGTACCTTGTAAGGTTGCTGACCCGTGGTAGGTCAAAGTCGGGCCGTGGTTTTAGCGAAGACACATTTTAGGGAATCGTTCAATCCGATGAAACAACAGAGTGTTAGACGAAGCCATACATCTCTGAGATAATTTCTGGTCAACACAACAATTGAATAAGCAAATGACATTGACCTAGGGTCAGGCATGAAGGTCAGACCAAGGTCAAACCAACCTGTTTTATTACTCTCGGGCTTGCTGTATGGGCTGGTTTCTGATGCTTATTTCGAATATGTTGATAGCAAAAGCCGCATTACACACCTTCCATGGACTTCTTATAGGTCAGAATAGATCACTGACCTAAAATGACCCAGGTCAACATTTTGTTTTTAAGAAAATACTGCCTAGCGTAATCTCTGTTGCTTATGCAAATGCAAAACTCAAAATAGTTTTATATCATTTTGGTCATAACGACCTTTAAAAGTTCAAACAAGGTCACGGGCCTGATCTGAGCAAGTGGCATTTTGCTTAGAACAGTTGCCTAGCTTCTAGGGGCCTTTGGAGACCAATCTGGACTTTGACCTTGTTTGACCCTATCTGGCACCAATGTCATGACCTAAGAGCTTCAAACTCTGACCTAGATGATTTCATGTACAGGTCAACACACCATGTGAATTTTGTCTCTCTAGCTCTCTTAGTTCCCGAGATCTCAGAAGGGGGGGGGGTCAAATTGACCCCATCCCCACCCGAGCGAAGGGTATCCAACCAGCCACCCGGGCGCGTGTTAAAAGGTCAAACAAGGTCACTGATATCAACCGAGCGTGTTAAATTTTTCTTGGAACAGTTGCCTAGGTTCCAGGAGCTCTTTGAAGACCAATCTGGAATTTGATCTTGTTTGACCTTATTCGACCCGAAGATCATGACCTAGGAACCTCAAACTTCGGCCTAAGAGAGTTCACGTGCAGGTCGATGCACTCTGTGAATTTGGTGTCTCTAGCTCTCTTAGTTCCCGAGATCTCAGTGGGGTCAAACTGACCCCCACCCGAGCGAAGGGTATCCGACCAGCCACCCGGGCGCGTGTTAACCTTTCCAAACATCTAACGTAGTCTAGGGGAAAAGGTCGGAAGCATGCCAACAAGTGGGCATTGATCATTTCAACAAACTTCAAACCGTGATTTCTCAGCGGTTCGTCCATATAATGACATGCATTTTTGACATTAATAAATGAGAGGTTATACTCATACCAACTGACCTTCAACATAACACGATGCAATGGTTAAACGTTATTCCAACATGTCATTGCCACTGAAAGATCATTATGTTGGATACGAGGCTACCAAATATTGTGAATGTCTCAATAAAAAAGAACAGCTTATTTGATAGCGCCACTTAACCAGCGACCTCTGGTACACTGGAGACTGATCATTTTCAATATGGGGACTCCCGACACATAATGCCGGATAGCAGGGAAAACGACACCGTTCTAGCTTCTCTCTGCATTTTTCCCCACCGAAAGACCCCGCGGTCTGGCATTAACATGTCAAATATTATGTTCTACCCTGCCAGTTTTTCAGCATGTCGGAAGTTATTCAGCCCCATGCCAGAGTTTTAGTCACGAAACGCAAGATGCGTAGTTTACTAACGGACGCGTCTTTGACTAGAACAATGAGGTGAGCGTCCCATAACACTCGACACTACGACGAATGAGGGACCCCCGCCCGCAAAACTAAGGGAGAGTCCAGCGACATATCCGGCTGATGACGGTTGCAAAGAAGAGGTAAGTGACCCACTCGGCCGTGAACCGTGGCCGCAGAACTCCGGGTTTTTTTTTGGGGGGGGGGACTGGTAAGTTCCCTCAGCATACCTGCGAAAGCCAACGAAGAATCTGGCATGGATTACAAGACCAGGATCAGAGCCCTGACGTCACCGACGGCCAGCAGTAGCACAAAAACACGAATCCGCCCGCCGTCCCGCGGCTGCACGCAAGGACTTCGACGTCGACATGTAAGGCGAAAGCCATTTCACGTTAGATGGGGTCTGGCATGCCACCGAACACGGGGTTCTACCTCGGCACAGATGAACATGCCGAGAAATAGCGCGGCCCCGCCCTCAGAGGTAGTTCCCTCGGGCTGCTCGTCCGGGTCGGGATGTCATATCCCCAAAGCAATGTCACATCCTCTGATCTGCCCCACCCGTGCCAACATCGACCGGCAGTCCCACCGAGAGCACCGCCTTCAGGCGCCGCTGTCCTCTCGGCAGTAGCTTCGCCTGGCCGGTGACCTGACCTTCTGACCAGACCTGGCCTCTGCGGCCTACACCAGCGAGGCGATCCAGCTGTTCTGCGCAGTGCCGGCGTCAGCATGGTGGGACGTGAGGGGAGGCCCCTATGCGTCCCGCAGCTCCACTCCACAGATGCGGCGGCTGGCAGGCCGCTCTGCGATGCAGCTCAGGGGCAGCCCGCATGCTGCTATCACTTCCATCGACCCGAACGCGCCGCGCTAAATGGTGAGGAAGGTCGGCAAGAAAGTGCGTGCTGCGGACCGGCACGTACCACAGCTTTTTCATCAGAGTCACAAAGTAGCCAGTGGCATGCTAGTTTTTTCATCAGGGTGACATAGAAGCCGATGGTATTGCGTTCGTGTGTGCGAAATTTAAGGCTTCTATGGATGCATCTAGCCATATTATAAACTATTGAATTTCACCATAGTTATAGTGCTCACCAGCGTTGCATTTTCCCAAGTTTTAAGTCCGAGTGAAAATTGTCCATAT